GCTCATTTATGACATCATGAGTTGATTTCACTTTCGTTGGCCCAGACGATATGATAGTACTTTGATACTATTTTAGCTCGGGCCGCTATAATAAATTACCACAGAGTGGGTGGCTTAAAAAATAAGCATTTATTTCTCACAATTCTGGATGTTGGAAGTACCAGATGCCAGCATGGCTAGGTTCTGGTGAGGGCCCTCTTTTAGGCTGCAGACGGCCGACTTCTCATTATGTCCTACATGGTGGAAAGACATCAAGATAACCTCTTCTGATCTTTTATAAGGGCAGTAATCCCATATAAAAGAGGGCTCGACTCTCGTGACCCAACTACCTCCCAGAGGCTCTGCCTTCTGACGCCATCACACCGAGATGAGGATTTTAACATATGAATTTGGGGGAGTACAAACATTCTGTCCATGACAGTTGTCATCTGGTTGGCAAATGTTATTGAACAGAAACCTTTTTAAAAACCTGTTTTGTGGGGGCTGAATGAGATGTGAAAGAAAAGCAGAGAAACAACAACAGCAGCAAAGCACTCTCTCTGCGTAGAACACAGTTTTGTAGTTGGGGAGCTGAGACAGACATGAACCAATGGGTGCCATGTTGAATGGGCAGTGCCAGCCACGGGTGGGTTGAGAACTCCAAAGTGGAAGAGACGGAAGAAGGCTGTGAGGGATCGGAGTGACCAGGGAAGATTTCACAGAAAAGGTGGCCTGTATATTTCCTGCTGCGGTGACACTGTGCACAAATTTAGTGCTTAAAGCAACACAACCTTATTATCTTACAGTTCTGGAGGTCATTGGTCCCACATGGGTCTCACCAGGCTAAGTTCAAGGTGTCAACAGGGCCATGTTCCTTCTGGAGATTGTAGGGGGGAATCCATTCCTTGCCTTTTCCAGCTTCTAGAGTCCACCCACATTCCTTGGCTCTTGGCCCCTTGCCCCATCTTCAAAGCCAGCAGAGGGTAGGCTGAGTCCTCATGCTGCCATCTCTCTGCTTGTCTGCAGCTGGGAAAGATGGCCTATTTTTAAGCACCCTTGTGATTGTATGGAGCCACCCAGGTAAAGCAGGATAATCTCCCTATTCAAGGTCCTTAGCCTTACTCACATCTGCAAAGTCCCTTTTGCCATGTAAGGTAACACATTCGTAGGTTCCAGGGATTAGGATGTGGACATTTTGGGGAGGGGAATGATTCTGCCTGTCACACTGCCCTTGAGCTGGTCCTGGAGGGGGTCACTGGCTCCTCTGTTAGGAGAGGAAGGCCTTCATCTTGAGGGTGTGCCTTGCATCCGAGCTGGAGGTGATGACAGATGTATGTGGGCCGTGAGGAGTAGGGTCTGCAGCAGACTTTGAGGTAGGTCAGGTAGGCAGAGAGGTCGGTAACACAGAGCTCACTGAGGTGACACTGAGCACTTGGATTTGACCCAAGAAACTGTAGGAAATCATCAAGGCCGCTTCAGAAGGGGAACGACAGGGGTTATTTGCTTTGAGGGTGATAATTCTGGAAGCAGGATCTTCAAGGATGCAGGAAGGACAAAAGGCATTCGGGAGAATTGATGGAGCAACCCAGGGAAGCAGATGCGCCCGGAAGGGCAGGTGTTGGTGGGAAGGTGTCCCCCATTGAATTCCCCAGGAGCTGATGCATAGTGCATGCTCACTTAAGATTGAATAGATGAATGGTAATATGTAATTCCAGTGATATTTCTTGGGTCCATTGAAGATCCCAAACTGCATTTAACATACCTGGAGAATCTAAACAGAACTTCTCACTTTTTTCTTCGTCATGTTTTTTTTTGTTGTTTTTTTTTTTAATACTGGTCATGAAGAATTTACTTAAAAGTTGGTGTTCTTTTTGTTTGTTTGCTTTTTGGGCCAGAGTCTCATGCTCTCACCCAGGTTGGAGTGCAGTGACACGCTTATGGCCACCACAGCCTCGACCTGCTGGGCTCAGATGGGTTTTCTCCTTTAGTCTTTCAAGTAGCTGGAGTTACAGGTGTGCACCACCACACCCGGCTAATTTTTTTTTTAATTTATTGTAGAGACGAGGTCTCTTCATGTTGCCCAGGCTGGTCTCGAACTCATGGGCTCAGGCAGTCTTCTCACCTCTGTCTCCAAAAGTGCTGGGATTACAGGCGTAAGCCACTGCACCCAGCTGTTGATGTGTTTTTTAATTGACACATAATAGATGCACATATTTCAAGATACATGTGATGCTTTGATCTGTTCCCATAATGTGTAAAGATCAAATCGGGATAATTGGGATATCCATCACCTTAAACATTTGTCTTTTTTTATGCTGGGAACATTCGAAGTATTCTCTTCTGGCTGTTTTGAAATGTTCAGTCAATGTTTTGCTAACTATAGTCACCCTACTGGTCTATCGGACACCCCATCTTATTTCTTCTAACTGTATATTTGTACCTGTTAATTAATTTCTGTTTATCCCCTTCTTTTTTATTTTGCTAAATTGTTTCTTCAGCACCAGAATCCCTCTGGTTCCTTTCTGAACGCCTTCTCTTGCAAAGAAGCTCCTGCAAGTATTCAAATTTTAGTAGCTCCACGCCCTACTTTTACCCCAGGTTTCTGATTTTTTATGTGGTAAAGGAAATATTTCAACTCAAGATTTAACTTTTTTTCAAGAATGACCAGTTCTTTTCATAGTGTGTAACAAAAGGATTATACCTGTAAGTAATTTCTATAGAGGAAGAAACCCAAAGGAATTGACTTCAGGAACTCATGAATTTGTTTTTTATTACATATTACAATAATGCACTTTTTATATTCTCCTTCTAATCATGTCTTGAATATTCCAGTACTGCATTGCCAGATGACTTCTGAACCAGGGACTGTGTTGCATTTGCTCGGTCGAAAAGTAGAGATTTTGGCAGCGTTAGACAAAGAACAGTCTGCCTAAAGCTGTAGTTCTCAATGTTAGCACACAGAAGGCCCAATTAGGAAGCTGGGTTATAAATCTAGATTTCTGATCTCATCTGATTCACTGAGGGTCTAGGATCATGGATCCCAGTCACTCCGAGGGATTCTGAGATGGCTGGTTTCAGGATCACACTTTGAGAAATACTGGCTTTGAGAATAGCAGAACACTGATATAGCCAGGAGGTCAGGATGTGACCTAGAGAAAACAGATGTGGTTAAAGTTTTGCAGTAGGAATTGCTAGCCTGGGGTGGAAATGGGGAATTCCTTGGTTCTTCCCTAACAGAAGCACTGATGTTCAGACCAGTGGACTCCATGTAATAGCCCCATCCTTTGTGATAATCAACCTGAGTGTCACCCACACCACATACCAGAGAAGCGCCATTGTCGGACGACCCCAAATGAAGCCAGCATTCTGAAGTGAAGATGACGCTTAGTAGCCCACAGAAAGACCCCTTCAAGCTGCCACCTATCTGTGCTATTGCTTTATGTGTTTCCTTAGACAACTATATTCCTACTTCATTCCAAAAATACTCACAGGGGAGTTTTAACCTGGCATCTTCACAATATTACGTCCTAGGGTGCATTCTTCCAGGGAGAGGTCAATCGCTTTCATTATATTCTCAGAGAGGTTCAAGACCACAAAAGACTTAAGAAGGACAGATTTTAGGACACTGAGAAGGCTGTTGAGGATGCTCCCTAAATTCCCAATCCCCGTGCAATCCTGGTTGGCAACAGGGGGCATCAGAGAGGAGGAGGAGGAGGAGACAGTGGTACCTGCGTCCACGTGTGCAGCCCTGTGTGGGACCGTGACTGATAACTTCTCCGAAGGGTAGACTCAGGCGTTGGAAGGGCTTCTGTGCCCTCAGGGACCTTATAGATGGGAACACACCAAAACCCACAGACACGAGTCTATAAACGAGTGGCTTAGTAAGGCTCTGGGTGCATAAGGACTGAGAAAGCTAAGGATGAAACACTGTCCTTGGAATGGCACAGTCACCAAGCAGACCATTAGGTCTGAGAGAGAATGAAGCATCACCTTCCAATGCATCAGGGTTGGCAGCTCAATTTCCGATCTGCGAGAATGATTTCATTCTACTCTATTGGAAGGGAAATCGTTCAAAAGAAGTCCAGAAAAATACTGAAGAAATCATTTCAAATAAAATCAATATCCTTTACTCAGACCTGGAGCATTCACGCCTCCACACTGAATTTACCTTCTGCCACAATGTTTTCTTCCTCCTTCCCGTTCTGTAAATTGCTCTTCTTTTTTTTTTCCTTTTTGAGTCAGAATCTCACTCTGTCACCTAGGTTGAAATGCAGTGGCACACTTAGGGACACCGCAGCCTCGACCTGTGGGGCTCAGGCAATCCTTCCGCCTCAGCCTTCGGAGTAGCTGGAATTACAGGCCTGGGCCACCATGCCCAGTTCATTTTTTTGATTTATTGTAGAGACGAGATCTTGCCAAGTTGCCCAAGCTGATCTCAAATCCCTGGGCTCAGGCAATCCTCTCACCTCCACCTCCCAAAGTGCCAGGATTACAGGTGTGAGCCACCGCACTCGGCTTGTAAATCGCTCTTCTAAAAGGAAATCCATGCCCTTAATTTTCCTTGTTGGCTATGGTCCTGAGATTTCTGATACAACTAACCGCTTTGATGATATGGGCATGATGATCCAGAAGAGATATGATTCGATTTCAGAGAGGGACAATTATATGGATGAGGATTGCAGAAATGAATTTGTAATATTAAATTATTCATAGATAATATTCTACTGTATGTTGCTATATGGTACTTATAAATACATAATCCCAAGAGTGATACTTAGATAATAGATTAAATCCTGACCCCTCCCTCATGGACAAGATTCACAGAATCATAGACAAAATTAGCATCACTTGGAATAAAATATAAGGGGATGGTTGCTGGAGTCAATAATGTATCCAGAGGTGTGGCTAGAAGGTTACATAGAACATTAACTTAGAGCAGTGACACGATTATGACGTGGTTTATATGCCAGAAAAATACACTTTATTTTGGAGAAATAATCCACTGTGTAAATGATTTCTAGTACGAGGATCATTCACCAATAAAGACAGACCCAGCTGGATTCCCGTTGTCTGAATTCAGGAGATGTCCATTCTGGGAGCAAGAACTGGCAAAGAAATACTCCTATAAGATGGTAGGTTAAAAAAAAAAAAAGATGATAGGTTTGAGCTCAGGGGAGAAGATTAGCCTTTCATGCTGCGTGCTGCCTGGGGAAGTAAATACTTTCTTATTTTTCCTGTCATTGGTTGTGTCCCACAGACTAATATCTTCTCCCAGACCTGTGAGGACCAACGATGCCCCCTGGCCTGGAGGTGACCAGGAAGCCCAGGCCCCCTCTCACATCCTATGGAAAGGCTTCACCTTGAATTGCTTCCCCCCCACCCCGCCCCAGTGACAAAGAAAGGAACAGAGGCATAGATTTTCTAGACACGAGCTAGAGAATATGGAGGGAGGAGTACTGGGGTTTAGAGAGAGCATGGTCAGAAGTTAGTGGCCTTTGTAGTAGGGAAACAAGCCCAAGAAGTATATGAGCTATGACACTGAAATGAAAGCCACACAAACCGTAGGCCAATAAGTATGCATTTCTCCATAGAAGGAAAACACTGTGGCCCAAGCAGAGGGCCCAGCTATTGGTCTATCAGAATTACAGCCAAAGCAGCTTCTGGTGGCTTCAGAAAGGTCTTTGGGGATCAGTTCATTTTGGAAGTGGCTTGCAAGTTGACATGATTTTCCGTGTCCTTCCTAGATGGCCTTTCTTGCTGATGAATACTGCAACTATTGTCAAGACATTTTACAAAATGTGAGGAACCAGGAACTTGAGAGGGTAGGGTTTTGTCTATAAAATACATGCATGTACGACTCATAACTAACCATTTAATCTGAAGAGACTCCTCCGGGGATGTCTGGTGATAATCCACTGCACCGAAGTGCTTACAACGCAGCTATTTGTAGTTAGTGCGTTCTTGAAGGTGACATTGATGTTCAGTGTAACCACTTGGAAATCCTCCAAGGTGCTAATAAGGATAACTTTATGCTTTAGAAACAAATTTATCTATTTTTAGATCCTAATTCCAGCTGGTTTTGAATAAAATATCGGTAATATTATTCACCCTGGGACTTTTAATAATGTTATGGAGGCATTTCATTGATACATACTAACTGAAAAAGAAGCAGGATTTTGAAGCACAGTGGTCTGGCATGAGTATCGTAATGCCTGGATCATATTCTAGAATTGGTTGTGGAAAACATGAATAAACCTTTCAACTGTTCTGAATTTCATCTTTTCCATTATGAGATGAAAAGAAAGGAAAAGCAAGTGCACATTCAATTGAAAGTTTTTCCTCTGCTCTAGTATTCTAAGCACTCCAACTTTGAGTGATAATATTCATTCAGCACGAGTGCATTTAGTACCTACTCAGTGTAGAGCATTAAAGGGAAAGAAATGGCCAGGCTCAGTGGCTCAGCCTGTAATCCAGCACTTTGGGAGGCTGAGGTGAGGGGATTGCCTGAGTCCGCGGGTTCGAGACCCGCCCGGGCAACTTGGCAAGACTTCATCTCTACAATAAATCAAAAATTAGCCAGACATGGTAGCGCATGTCTGTGGTTCCGGCTACTTGGAAGGATCGCCGAAGCCCAGCAGGTCGAGACTGCAGTGGCCGGGAGCGTGCCACTGCACTCCAGTCTGGGGGACAGAGTGAGACTCCAACTCAAAAAAAATAATAAAATAAAATAAAGAGAAAGACCAAGATGCCAGAAAGACCTCTGTTCTATTGATGTAGCATTATAAATATCCATTCACACCAGCTCTCTGACGTATTTCTTTCCTCCTGCACTGACTCATCAAATGTTTATTTCATTCCTACCCTGTGACTGGCACGATTACCTGGACTAGGAATATATTCTCTATAAGGCTTGAGAAGCTTGTAGTCTGATAATAAAAGGAGTAACATTACCCAATAAATATGATACAATGTGGCAAGTTCTAGAATAGCTACATGATTAGAATATTCTGGGTGGGAGTCCAGCAGGTCCAGTCTGCAGTGGTGATTGTGCCACTGCACTCCAGGCTGGGCAACAGAGACTCCGACTAAAAAAAAATAATAAGTAATAAAATTTAAAAAAAAGAATATTCTGGGTGCCCAGAGAAGAATAACAGAACAGGTTGTTGCTGACCCTAGTAGTAAAGGCAGAGATGCAGTCAACAGAAAGTGAGGTAGGAGAGAGATTCCAGGCGGAACCCATGGGGCAACAAAGGCTCATAGGCATGACATGACAAAAAGCTTGCTAGGACTGCGTTTCATTGCTTCTAAGGGAGAGAAGCCAGAGGGAAGGTGGGAAGGTAAGTGGTGCTAGAAAGGGCCTCCCATGCCCCAGGAAGAATTCTGATTTATTGAGAAGACAGTGGGAGAGCAGTGACGTAAGACATGGCCGTAGCAGAGGGGTGGCCACGTGGCTTTGTCATAGTCAAGGTGAGAAATGAGGAGGGTTGGATCTGGGGCGGTAACAGTGATATCCGAAAGAAAGGAGGACCGACTAGAGAAATAACTCGGAGGCAGGAGTAACAGGATGCGGTGACTTTGGACATAGGTGGTGAGGGAGTGAGCTGAGTCTCTGGTTGTTGTCTCTACTCGGACCCACCAACCCCAAAAAGCCATGGTCCAAAGCCACCAATCTGAGAGAAAAAGGATTGCTGTGCTCTGTGTTGTATGTCTCAGAGTCTCTTTGGAGAACTCTTACCTAGAATCAATGCCCCTGATGACAGGATTTCAAATCAGCGTCCATTGTCATGTAACTCAACAGTTGACCCTAACTTCCTTGATGGCCTACACGTGGGAAGAGGTCCTTGTCCGGAGTCATCAGCGGGTCCTAGTGTCAGGGAAGATACAACAGGGTTGTGATGCCTCAGAATACCTGAAACTGAGGACATCCCAAACAGGCAAGAGTCTTCATTGTCTGGGAACTCTTACTGGCCACCTGGGTCAAGGTTGGAATCTGAAAAGTCAAGATGGGGGAAAACAGAAAAGAAAAGAAAAGAGAAAGCCACCATTTTGTTCCTTCACAAGGTTGCCCACATAAGTCTTTAGAGAAAGCTCCTACGTAGACTCACTCCAGTTCCTTTTTGTGTACACACAGTTGTTAAGTTCTAACTTGAGGTCAAGGAGATCTCTTAGATTAAGGACCATCACACCCCTTTCTGAGCTGCAAAATGATTGATTGGTCAGTCGGTCAGGCTGTCAACTGTGGCCCAATCCTCACCCTATGGTAATCAACTGGAGCCCCCTTGTGGTCAGAAACAGCCTTCCTTCTAGAAAACTGCCTCAAGAAAACATGCTCTACGCTCTTCCATCCAGCTGGCAGGCAGTCTCGGATGGCTTGATAGAAAGAACGCTTCCAAAATACAGCTTGGAAAAGCTGACAGGCAAAGCTTTATTCATTGGAACAAAATCCATCCCATTATCATCTGGGGCTAACGAAGCACATACAGGGGATTAGTCTCACAAGGCACGAAATGATTTTTGGCAACATGTTCTCTTCCTTACATCAGGTGGAGGACTTGCTTACTTCCTTCTGGAAGTCTCTGCAGCAAGACACAGTCAAGCTGATGTCACTACCTGACGTGTGCCAGCTCTTTAAATGCTACGATGTGCAGCTCTACAAGGTAGGAAGACGTGTGTGTCTCTCTCTGGCCTGTATCCTTTCCGGAAACAGAGAGCAATGCTGGGGTTGGGTCTACAGCCCCTCTCTCGGCCGTCCCCATGGACTGCTGGTTCTCAGAAGGGCTTGTGGATCAGGAACCTTTTGATCTCTGTCTAAAACTCAGCTTTTCTTAATTATTTCGTGCAAAGAAAAAAAAAACCAATGCACAGTGACTTATGGTTTCAGTACTATTAAACCCTGGATTAAGTCAAAGTTCTTTCTCTGGGAATGTCAACAAAAGAAGACATTCTTAAATGAGTGATCAGAATGATTACTTCGGAATATACAGAGCTGCCAGAATTTTTCATCTTGTTTTGTTTGAACCGATAGAAAAATTATTGCATTCAGAGAATGAGGTCTGTATCATTTCTGGGGTTAGAATGTGTCCTTCAGTGAGTCACAAACCTTACCTTTTATTTTATTACTTTTTAGAAAACCATCTAGTGGGCTTCTAAGTTTTTAACTCAAAGATTGAAAATTTGAGGCTGGGTTTGTTTGTTTTAACCCACCTAGTGTTGGCTGACATATGTTTTCGTTCAAATTTGAACCAGTTATCAATATTTTTAAATCTTTGGGCAAAGAATCAAATTCTGGCCACACCAGCCTAACATCCTACACAGTAAGCAGTAGCTGGGCTTCGTGGTAGCTGTGAGGGCCGTCTCTCAGACTTGTCATGACCCACCCTGTCCCTGTGGCACACGTGACACGCTTTGGTCACTTGTATTTAGAGGATGCCTTCACCACCCAGAATCACAATGCCTTGACACTTTTGTTGTAGGGAATTGAGGATGTTCTTCTTCATGACTTCTTGGAAGATGTTTCTCTTCAGTACCTGAAAGCTATCCGGTTATTCAGTAAGAAATTCAAACTGTGGCTTCTTAAAGCTTTGGAAAGTTTTCCAGTCCTCCTACAGATCTCCAAACTCAAAGGTAGGCTTGTACTAAAAAATAAATTCTGTGGGGATAGATGAAATCTCTAACTTTCACACTGAGGGGCGCCTTTCAGCTATGGCATAACCCTTTCCCCTCATGCCCTCGGAGTCCTGACTTTCTTTTAGTGCTAGTGACAGAGTCGTGTGCTGATCCGTTCCCATCCTTTTACCTGTTCCCCCTTCTGAATAACAGCATGGACTTTTGGCAGGTCCCAGGGTTCGAGATATGGAGAAGATGCTGGAAGCTGTTGTGAGGAGAGGGAGAAGCCAGGCCCTGCCTCCAGCCTTGCTGGTGGGCTCAGGGCTGACTCAAGCTCTGACTCTAGCTAGCATCGTCCCGACATCTTTGTACCCGATGCAAAACCTGTCTCTCCCTCCACAGAAATTCTTTAAGTTCTTCACACCTCCAGAAGGCTCACTGGGGCATTCTTTGTCTTTGCAGTCTCTTGGTCTCACTTCTTTTTTTTTTTTTGGGAATTGGAGTCTCACTCTGTCTCCCAGGCTGGAGTGCAGTGGCACGCTCGCAGCCATCGCAGCCTCAACGTGCTGGGCTCAGGCGATCCTTCCGCCTTAGCCTTCCAAGAAGTTGGAATTACAGGCATGCACCACCACGCCCAGCTAATTTTTTTTTATTTATTGTAGAGATGAGGTCTCACCAAGTTGCCCTGGCTGGTCTCAAACCCGTGGGCTCAGGCAGTCCTCTCACTTCAGCCTCCCAAAGTGCTGGAATTATAGGTGTGAACCACCGAACCCAGCCCCAGTCTCACTTCTGAATTGCACCATCTCCCTGTTGACTTTCTAGAGCAAGTTTCCCTCCATCAGCCAGATTGTAGTCTCTGAATACTGCTTTCACCGGGCTATTTCTCTGTTCGAGGCCTATGCAATGGCTTCAAGTTACAAGCTTGAACTGCTCTGTCAGCCGGACCAGTCCTTCATAAACCTACCTTTTTTGTTCCCCTACAATTCCATGCCACTTCAGAGGCCAGCACGTACCTGTTAGGTGGACACCAGGTCCGAGTGCCCTAGAAATATCCGCTTTCTCCCTTGTGCCTTTGTGAAGTTTTACCATCATTGCCTATGGCTCTCTGCAAGGCTCCCTCCCCACCATATCACCCTTCTTGGGCCAACTCAGGGCATTCCCCTGACCAAGCCGGTACCAATTATTTCCCCATGTGTCTAAGGGTGCCACTTCCTCTACTACTGTTTCCTGGGTGGTACAGGTGGGGGTCCTGTCCTCTCAGTGTGCCTATAGCGTGGGACCATGTCCAGTCTCCACCCACCACCCTGCACCCTCAGCTGTGTTCAGTACTCATTCTGGGTACCCTGGTCCAGTGTTCCCTGTTTGGAGGTGTTTGGCATAACCAGGCTCTTTCTGTGGGTCCATGTGCCTGCAACCACAGAGGCAGGGGGATAGGGCTGCTGCAGAAATTAAGACTGAGCTGACTCGGCGTGGTGACTCAGCCTGTAATCCTAGCACTTTGGGAGGCCGAGGAGAGAGGATTGCCTGAGCCCAGGGGTTCGAGACCAGCCTGGGCAACTTGTGAGACCTCATCTCCATAATAAAACAAAAAATAAGCCGGGCATGGTAGCGCGTGCCTACAGTTCCCCTACTTGGAAGGCTGAGGTAGAAGGATTGCCGGAGCCCAGCAGGTTGAGTCTGCGTTGGCTATAAGCAGCATGCCAGTGCACTACCAGCCTGGGCAACAGAGTGAGACTCCAACTCAAAAAAAAAAACCAAGGTGAGACTGGGACTTGCTGAACAAGGGGCCAGTGAGGAAGAGTAGGAGCAGAGCCCTGTTCCAGCTTCCTTGTGGCCACCTTAACACCTGCCTGAAGCCGGGCTCAGTGGCTCAGCCTGTAATCCCACGCCTTTGGGAGGCTGAGGTG